TATGATAAAGCTCCATCTCACAACTTTGTATATTCTCTTCCTGTTCTCTTTTCCAAAGATAATGTGCCAATGTATGGATGCTGTGGCCCTGCCTAGTGTGGTCAGCCAGGCAGGGTTGTCCCAATGGGTTCCTGCTCCATCAATGAGGATAACCAGGAGGCTGCTTGCGTGTGTTCAGTGATGTGGGCCGTGTTGCCTTATTCAACAGACCCCCGAGAGAGCTCCCAAAGACCACAAATCAGATTTGGATTGAAGGTGCCCAGCCTGGTTTATTGCTAAGCAAAGTACAGTCCTTAGTGGTCAATAGACTCTACCAAATCACTACGTTTATTTACCCATAACAATGGACTCAGCTCAACCAGTGGGAAACTCCCAATGCCTCTCCCCCCCCCCCCCCCCCCCCCGACACCACTTTATATACAAGTACAAACAAGTTACACATCTCTCCTGACAGGTCAGGTTACCATCGTCTGATGCTTCTTAGATACCACCCATCACCCTGTACTTCCTGGTTTGATTAGATCATCTCTAGCCAACATGCTGTCATTTTAGACCCTTTTCTGAACCTGAGACTGTATCTGTGGGGAGTGTGGGTACCAAGATCTTTTTTAATGAGCTGGTGGTAGCATGTGCTTTTAAGTTATGATCAGTACCAATTACTGTTCTACAAATCGGTACCTAGTACCAATTACTGTTCTACACCTAGGCCTATTACCAATTAGTTTTGCATTCTCAGCCCTGTTTGTGCCATGTTCTGAGAGTAGGGGCCTGCCTCTTGCTCACGGCTTTGCTTTATGTTAGCCATATTTTGTCCATCGTTAGCTAGGCCTGAAACCAGGCCTGTGCTACAGGGGGTTATGTTTCAGGCCTTCATCTTACTACACCTATTAGAGATGAGGCTGCAGAGTGCTTGTGGGGAGGGGTCCCTGAAATCTCTGCTCATCACAGAGTTATGCTCTGGGGAGGATGCCATCCACTGTAGCTTGTGTGGCAATTGGATGCAGAACTAGGAATATCCAGTGTGTGTGGGGAGCAGGGAGCTGCCCAGCAGGCGGTGGTCTTACCTCTGTTGCAACCCACAGACATGCCTTTGGAAAGATTAGTGTGTCTTGGCTTTGTAACAGGAGAGATTTGGGCTGTATGGCTAAGGAGACTTTGTACAAGTTTGCATTGCCCCTCGAAGTTTTTTTAGCAGTGGGTTAATGGTTTAGCATTCAGACATCCCATGTGTGGCACAAGTTAAGGCGCAAGAATGAACCCAGTATTTATTCCATAACACACTGTCCCTTCAGGCAAGGCACTACTCACTGAAACAGAATTCTTTTAGAAGAATCCACATATGGCATGTGGACAAAGACATTTTGAGTGCTTACAGCTATGTAGTTTTCAGCAGAAGTTCACCCCTTTTCCTATCTAAGGGCACATCTACACTGCCTCTTTTTTGTGGAAGAGGCAATGCCAATGAAGTGCTCATTAGCAACTTCTCGTGCTCCATTTGCATATTCTCTTCCGATTTTTGCGAAAAAAAAAAGCAGTGTAGAGAGGTTCGTTTTGCGCAAGAACCTGTAAACTCATTTTTCGAGGAATAAGGGTTCTTGCGCAAAAGAGGGGTTTTTTTGCATAAAATGGACCCATCTATGCTGCTCTTTTTTTTTTTGCACAAAACCTCTTCCGCCAAAAGCATCAGAAGAGACTATGCAAATGAAGCATGAGAAGTTGCTAATGAGCGCTTCATTAGCATTGCATTTTTCGAAGTTGCTAATGAGCGCTTCATTTGCATTGCATTTTTCACAAAAAAGGGGCAGTGTAGTCGTAGCACGAGTGAGCCACAGTGGTCACAGCTACAGTGGGAGAGAGCGAATAATCCCCATGATGGCCACAGTTCCAAGCTGCCACAAGGCCCAAGTCTTTGACAACGTATTATACCAACAAAGTGTTCAGCTAGCTTGCCTGTGAGAGCTGAAGGCTGAATTTGGAGCTGAACGGGATTAGTGGCTGTTAAACCTTAATGCAGTAGGTTGGAGAACAGGGACAAGGCATTTCCTTGATATTAGATACACTCATGGAACCAGGCTAAGGGGGATGGTACATTCTCAGTTGTCAGTGTGTGGTGGGGAAAGGGGAGTAGGAAGTAGGGAAGAAAGCACCACTGTGTAGCAGACCTACTTTTTGAAAAAGGGGCCAGTTTGTCCACTTATTGACAGCCAGCCACAAAACTGGGATGCAGAGTATCAGAGGCAAGATCTCAGACATGCCAGCAGAGATGTTTTATAGTATCTCAGTAAACTAGCTTGTCCTTGTCAGTGTCTGGAAACAAGCCTAGAACTGCTGCTAGTAGAGGTGACAGCTGCAGCTTGCCAAGGCTCACATTGAAGCTCATAATATATAGGAGAGGAGAAAATAGGCTGCACAGTGCATCCTTGGAACACCAACACACAACTAGTGGGACGTGAAACTTCATGGCAAGAAACTAGACCCCATGAGGTTCTCTAATTCTCCCTCTATGGCATTTTCTTCAGGCTCCTCCCAGCATAGAAGGCAGGGTTGAGAAAGGCTAAAGAATGGCTACAGTCAAGGCCTGAATTGTCCTCCCCCTTCATTTTTGCAGCTCTACAGGATTTTGTAGCATCTGTTTTCAGGACTTTGCATTCTGGCCAACTCATTCCTAGCTGACAGGCATTGTCTCAACTCTTGCACTAGCAATATGGCAATAGCCTGGCCAGGTGGCACTTTAAGACACTTCCCTCCCCTCTCCTGCAGCTCAGCATGCTACCCCTGTTGCAAATGGATAACTTGACACACCCTTACTTGGTATCAGCTGCCATTTTCATTCACATTGCAGCCCAAATCTCTTAAAATAGAGAAGATGACAGCACTGGGGGGGGAGGGGCAAGAGTATTTATAAATTTTTATTTATTTTTTTAAAAATAACGTATTTTTCATTTCTTGGTGTATGTTACTTGTTTCCTTAGGTTAAGTATTAGGCAGAGACAGATAGCGTGAAACAGCTTTCCCTGGCGGACTTGTGAAGCAGGACAAGAGTGAAACAGCTGGGAAAAAGGTGCCTTAAGAACTGAAATCTTGGCACACTAGTTCCCACCAAATGCACACATACATTCTAACACTTGGTTTGGATTAACATCTAAAAATTACTGAGAGAGACAATTTCAGCACTTAAATATACAAACTGAAATCCAAGCACTTGAACACAATTCTTAAATCTAAGTTCAGAGTTATTGCACATAAGATATTTTAATGTTTTCAGGCTATACACTGTTGCTCCTCTCTGAACTTTGTTAGTCATTTGCTTTTGTTAAGTATATAATTAAACAAAATTAACATGTTTTGAACACCTTCAAAATACTTATCTATTAGTGGTTTTAATATACATAGCTCTTGACCGCCAGGGAGCTAAGCTCCAGTTTGGAGGAGATGAGAGAAAAAGACTGATAAATGGTTTAAAGCCATGGTGCTACATTTTGTATAGACAGGGCAGTTCCATAGTAATAGAGATGGGTATGGAAAAGATCCACAGGAAGCTTGAATGCAAAGACAGAGCATGATCAGCCACGGTTGAAAAGCATAAAGCTGAGCCAAAAAGCTAGCTAGTGCCCTTTACGTGCCTTAGGAGCTCACCTGCCCACTTTGCATCTTCTTCAATCCCACCTCTCATTCGGTTCACCTTGACCAGAAGGCTAAGACTCCTTCCCACGTCCATCTACCTCATTCCTATTTTTCCAGACGGGGTGCTTCTGTGCAATGCAAGGCTCCTCCGAGTATGAGACTGATGCTTCTAATGCCCTCCTAGCACTGCCATCTCAGGGGCTGCAAAGCCAGAAGCAGGAAT